TTTAGGTTGTAAACAATGTTAAATGATCACTTTTTCTTTTTAAGCTGATCTCTCTCACCATAGAAAAACACTGCATACAGTAGTAGCCATTCAGAATTTCCCCTCTTTCCTTGATAGGCCCTTAGCTGGTCCCCTAAGATTCCTTTTTTTAAACATCAATATTTGGATTCAAATATTCTTTCTGTCATGATTTGTGGAAATTAAGGTCCAGAGAGAAGCATCATCTCCTGGTCAGACCCTCTAATTCAGTGAAAGTAAAAAAAAATATGCAAGAGGGGGTCACTCCAATGGCTTGTAGTTGGAGGGGATTTTGTTGGGGCTGCCATTGGCGTTTGACTGGAAAGAGCCATTTGAATGGCTGCTACTGTAGCTACACCTTCCTATTATGGGTATTATATTATATAAGTTATGGGTAATTTTAGAAACAAAGAGGGAAAAACAGGATAATTATTGGTTTTAATGTGATAAAAATATTCATTTGACCATGGGAGTGTTTCCCTATAATAATAATAATAATAATAATTGAACTTAATGAATCTCACGCTAGAGAAATTCCCCTCTGCATTAAACCCATCCTCTTGGGGAGCAGTGGGCTGCCACTTTGCAGCACTCAGGGAGCAGTTTGGGGTTAAGCGTCTGGCTCAAGGACTCTGAGTGTCTTGAGATCAATCTCAGTAGCTGACAGTAGCTGAGTTTCTGCTCAGAGTGTGCAGAAAGCGAGGTCCATTATATATTATAGGCTTCCAAAAAATGGCCAGAAAAAATGGAGGCTGTGGGCAGTATGGGGAGGGGGTGGGGTTTTCATGGGAGCTCATAACAAAAGAGTAAGAAATAATTCAAAATTAAAAAAAACATGGAAAGAGCACATTGGCTGAAGGTTTAAAGGAGAAGTCGGGTCATATTCAGAATTCAAACATATGAAAGTACTTTAAATATGAAATTATTACATACTGTTAAATAAATGATGTGTTTTTAATTAAAAGTAATTTTTATTTGAATGTGCTTTACTGGAGGCATCGATGTCTGTGAAAGAACACTACTGCCACCTACCGGTTTGTAACATCACGGTGCGGTATCGGCTGTTGATCAAGTCCCAGTGCTGTATCTGGTGTTTGTCACAACGCGCTATTATCCAAGTCATCTTGAAAACATTCTTCTTCCAAATGTTCTTCTTCGAAACCGTCCATGGAGGATCAGGAAACGTAAAGGTGAAATAACTAATGTTTTTTCCACTTTTATCTGATGTATTCCAACATCCAGCTGCCATGCACGTGGGCATTGTCAGTTTCACTATAGCTCTGGTGAATTTCAATGGTGAAGTCCTCTGGAAATCTTCAATAATTGTTGTTGATTGCAGATGTGTCTAGTAGTTCCCATTGATTTTGCTTCTAAGGTGGGGAGAATGGCGCTAGGCTTACACTGAAAAAATAATGCTATTGCGTTTGGCATTTACTTAATCATATTCAGCTATTTTAACACACTTGTTTTCTGTCCTACCCTGCTAACATGAAACAATTGTGTTAAAGTAACTAAATATGATTAAGTAAATGCCGAAAACATTGGCATCATTTTTTGAGTGTACCGTACCGTGACATTACTGCCAGAAGACGTCAGGAGTGAGGTGTTACTATATTTGGTAAAAAATGGCCGCTCCCAGACTCAGTGATCAAAATGAAAATTATTGTTTTTACTTTTTCAGTGGTTCATGCTAAACGGAACATAAATACAGTATAAAATAGATACGGTAATATTCAACATTTTTGAACACAAGCAACCTCCATCAAAGAATCAGTGAATATTAGAGTTCAGGTGATTATTGCTGTCAGAAAGAAGCTGTTTTTCAGACTGTCTGTTTTAAATCTGTTGCTCCTGCAGCGCCTCCCTGAGGGCAGCAGGTCAAACAGGCTGAAGCCAGGTGGGAGCTGTCCTTGGTGATGAATTAGCTCTAATGAGGCAGTGGGACGTTTAATGTCCACCAGAAAGGGACGAGGGCAGACGACCATCCGCTGGCCTGCCTTAGCTTACTTGTTCATCACTTGGATCCGACTCCAAACCAACAACATGGTGCAGGGTTTTGAAGATCAATAAATATCACTAGAATATTGTATTTTGGCCAGTTTGAACAGTGGTTCCCTTAGGAAGGCATAATCTGTGAAAATAACCCATAAAGCAAAGATTTTAACTCTTTTATATTTATCTAATAGGAATTGTTAGGTGTGTAAATAAGGGGTGGATTATCAAATTATGTAACGTTGATACATTTCAAACCAAACGAGACGCTTAAACAGAGACTAGTGCATCCTAAGGACAAAACCCCCAGACCAAATATAAGCGTATAGGGTGGTGTCTGCAGTTCAATGCAGTGAGGAATGCTCTGATCTTCATACTGGAGAAACCAAACGACCTCTCCACAGACACATGGCCCAACACAGGAGAGCGGCATCCTCTGGACAAGACTCTGCGGTACATCTACACCTTATGGACGACATAAGACACTCTTTTGAGGAACAGAATGCTCACATTTTGGACAAAGAAGAAAGGTGGTTTGAGAGAGTTAAGAAAGAAAAACCAACCTTAAACAGAGGGGGTTAAATCAGGTTTCAGCTTTCAAAAACCTACAATGCAGCAATAGAGTTAATCCCTTCCCGCTATCATCCCCAACCCCTTTACAGCAGGAAAGAAGACCTCGCCTGTTCAGCCAGACCAACAATTCCCTTTAACGACCCTCCTTTCAGAGACATAGACAGGTATGGGGCATTGCAGGCCAACAAAGAACCCAAATGACCCCCATTCCAAAGGGATGGACCTGTTAGTCCGTT